TTGTCAGCAAAAGGCTTGGAGAGGGAAAGTTTGCATGGGTGGGGGCATCTGAGCTCATAATCGTAATTCCCTGTGTTAGTTTCATATGCCTTTTGTGAACTGACCACTAATCTTCACTGTAGCCAGGAAACACAGTTCCCCTGGGGGCAGGTAAACCAAAATGGGAAGTCTGGCCCCATACACATTCTCCTGGATGAGAGATCATTGCCTTGACATGATGGGCCAATTCATTCTTGGTCCTTTGAGGACCTCCTTTTCCCAGAACCTCAACTTCTTACCATTAAGAATCATCTTAAGTCAGCCCGCTAACTCTCCATGTGCAGAGCGTGGAAAATATAAAACCTTTCCCCAGACTCCCTGGCAGTTAGGGTTTTGGTGTGATGGAGATTCTGCGGATCAGATGCACCTCCGTGAGACCTGGATGTGGGACCGTCATGTGTGGAAAGAGGCAGGGCAAGCGACATCTGGTTTGCTTCTGTGGACCCTGCCGCAGGTTGGATGGTTCTAGAGCTACCAGCTACAGCAATGGTTTCGCCCTCGGTGGCCCAGCCTTAGAGCCTAGGCCTGGGAGTCATTTCTGAAGTTGATCTAGTTGTGTTGATTTAGCTAGCCAATTCCACTCCATCATTCAACCCCCCGTAACAGACCCTTCTTGTAAACCTGCTGATACAGTCCTACAACTACAAAGCTGTGATGTCTCACCTTGTCCTTTTATTGACTGAGACAAAATAAAATGATTGAAATTTTATCCTTGACTTTATTATGGGTCTTTCTCTGATGCTAGGCTTCAAACTCTTTGTATGATTTTCCTTGCAATGGAAAAAGATGACTTTATATTACACTTCTCAGATTTATATGAAAGGTCTTCCTGGAATTATATTGATGTGTTCAATCACAAAAATGAATGTTTCTAGGGCAGGGCTAGGTGGCTGGCACATGCCTGTAATCCCAGCGGCTTGGGAGGCTGAGACAGGAAGATCAGGAGTTCAAAGCCAGTCTTTGCAATGGCGAGATACTAAGCAACTCAGTGAGACCCTGTCTCTAAATAAAATACAAAATAGGGCTGGGGATGGGGCTCAGTGGTCTAGTGACCCTGGGTTCAATCTCCAGGACCAAAAAAAAAAACAAAACAAAAGTTTCCATCTTTTTTTTACCTATCTAATTGAAATAATGTGATGGGTCAATTTATGGAATTCATATATTGTGTCTCCATTAGTAATAATATAATGTTTTATATATATGTGTATATATATACATACATATGCATATAAGTATATAAGTGTGTATATATATATATATATATATACACACACAAATACAAAGCAGCCTGTAACAGACACAGTAAAGGGCTGGGAGAAGTATTTTGCTATTGATCAAGCCATCAGTACCGGCACTTCATTTTCAACAAAAGAGCTGCACCCTGTGTATAAGTCATATTTAGATATTTCCTGACACCTGGGAGTTGACTCAACAGATGTTAATATGTCATTATTACTAGGACTCATGCCCTCCCTCCACTGGTTCTCTTATGGGCTTAATTTTGCCCTACAGTTTGCTGCAACTTGGCTTTGAAAAATGGGTTTGGACGTCTCAGGCATCATCCTGGCTGGAGAAGCACTGATTTAACAGGGTGAGGCCATGCTCAGTGATTATAAAATCAGACTTGTTCCTGCAGAACACTTGCATACCCCTTCCAGTTTTGGTCCTTCATGTAGACAGAGTAACAGGGCAGAGCACTTAGATATCTAAGTTAGACTCCAAGACTGAATGGAAAATGCTTCCCCATTTGGTAGGTTCTGTGCAAAGCATTGGCTAACCGTGG